AGTTTGTGGATGAGTTACAATCAGTTTGTGGATATGAGTTACAACCAGTTTGTGGATATGAGTTACAATCAGTGTGTGGATATGAATAACAATCAGTGTGTGGATATGAGTTACAATCAGTTTGTGGATATGAGTTACAACCAGTTTGTGGATATGAGTTACAATCAGTGTGTGGATATGAGTTACAATCACTTTGTGGATATGAATAACAATCAGTGTGTGGATATGAGTTACAATCAGTTTGTGGATATGAGTTACAATCAGTAACCCCCCCCCCAACCCACCACCACCACCATTTTAATTTAGATACTGTTTACAGGCTTAACCCTACATTGTTTCTTGAAAGTGTTTGTATGTTTTAGTAAATAAAAACAGCCTGACACACAGTTTGTAAATGTGCAAACAAGAAGAATGAAACAAACAGTTTATGTTCTGGATGTATGAAAATACAGTGGTTTGGTTTTCACTACGGGCGGGGGGGGTGCGACGTGTCCTGGCCCATGCTATATATCGTGTTTGAGAACTAGGCATCTCGTGAAGTAAACACGTAATGGGGCGGTTACTACGTAATCCTTGACCTCGTGCCAGTATTTTATACGTCACATCGTGTTTGCCGATGTAGACTCGCTAGTGGCTCGTGGACTAAACACGTTATTGTACCAGTCCGGGTAACCTGGATTATGCAATGACTGCTTATCTCGTGCAAGGCTGAAACTATTCGTTTTCCATTTACTTCTGTGGCAGTAACAATGTTGACTCGTTTCAGCTGCGAGTAAGATTTCCAGTGATAGAAAACACATGGAAACTCGTATAAAAGGCTGATATAACGCTTTTTCTACCATTAGTTTTTTTAAGGAGTCATAGGGCGTCAGTTTCGAAATATCGGAGTTTCTGCCCGACTGACGATTGAGGTACTTTTAAATTAAAGCCAAATTATGACATCACCGGAAATACACGAGCTTCCCATTCCTCTGAGAATTGTGCCACGTGAGTAACCACTTCTTCTCGACTGGTAGTAAGTTGTTAGATGCCAACATATATTTCTTTGATTGAGTAATCTCATCACACAGATGATACCTCCCGCACGAGAGTTGCTGCCTTTGACTGAACAGCAGTTTGCAAACGATAAAAACAAGTATTAATTTCTGGATTTTATTTTAAAGTTCTTTTTAACTTTCTTCAGTTGTGTCAATTTCACATTTACAGTTACTTATTTCAAAAAAAACAAACAAACCCGTATTTGATTGCTTGGAAGAAAGAGCCATGGGAAAGGACCACGATCTGCTTAAGTACGTTAAACACAACGATATCGATAAAACTCAGGTAAGCTAAAGATTTCTCTTCATTTTGGAAGCAACAGTGTTAACTTCCTAGTGGCACAGCTGTATGTCTGCGGACTTACAACGCTAGAAACCGGGTTTCGATACCAGTGGTGAGTAGAGCGCAGATAGCCCATTGTGTAGCTTTTTGCTTAACTGCAAACAAGCAACATTATTAGTATCAAAACATATCTTCCAAAAACAAGCTTATGTAACAACGTTTTAAGCATTTCTTATCATTTATGTGTTTTACTTTACTAACATCCCACGTTGCAAGTGAGAATATTAGTTTACTTTGGATCCACAAACAGTTACCAGTTTTCTAAAATTGTACCCAAACGTTAGCTGCTCGTGGCAGTTTTAGGTCTACAAATATTGAAAATTAGTTATAGACTAAAACTTAGGATTGGCTTATTACAAAAACCTTGAGATAAGCTATAAGCCTTATTCGTAATATTCCATATCACGTAGGATGACACGGAAAATTATCATCAGAAACCCAATAACCCGAGCCATAAGGAAAAGTTAACATCAATAACCCAATAACCCGAGCCTTAAGGAAAAGTTAGCATCAGAAACTCAATAACCCGAGCCTTAAGGAAAGTCAACTTTCCTTTCTCAGACATTTACCACAATGAAGGAAAGTCCACTTTACAAAAGTTGTTGGTTTTCCTTTCTGATGCTAACTTGTAAGATTTGAATAGAACACAGCTTTGGAAATTCCAAGTTTTTAATTCCACACGAATCTTCAGATAACAGCAGTTAAACGTCTTCCTAAAACAGTTTGAAATGTCACACTTTTTAATACGACTACACAAAATTTGAAACCGCTTTTAAGAAAAGTAATTCCTGAATATTCAGTTTTTTAGGTCTATACAAAAAGACCTGGTGTGACATGGTGGTTAGCGAGCTCGACTCGCAATCTTCGGGGTCACGAGACCGAAACTCGGCGCCGAACATGCTCACCCTTTCACCCGTATGGGCGCTATAACGTGACTGTCACTATTGATTGGTTAACTAGAAGCCCAAAAGTTGGTGGTGGGTAGCGCCAGTCGGTTGCCTTCCCTATGATCAGCGGCTCAACATTAGAGACAACAGCAGATAGCTTTGGTAGTTATACCTTAAAGAAAACAGACAAACTACACAGTACTCGTATATTGGGAAGATCAAATAAACATATTGGATTGACTATGTGTGTGTAGCATTTGGTTTATCCTTCAATAACTGGTAGTGTACATTATATCATGGACGATTTGGAAAATTATATTGCTTTATCTACCAGCTGTTTCTCTTAAACAATAATGTGTTATGCGTACGTATATATCCACAAACTGATTGTAACTCATATCTACAAACTGATTGTTATTCATATCCACACGAATGAATTTTACACACACTGAAGATGGTCGCTTTTTCGCGCATAATGGTGTTTGTACAGAGTCAAATTTTCTTGTGTACCCAAAATGGCGGCACCTGTTTCACATGGATAGTTACTGAATTGAAACGCATCAATAGTCTAGAGCAGGGGTCTCCAAACTATGGCCCGCGGGTCGAATGCGGCCCGCCAACAGTTTATTAAACTAATAATATAATTTTTTTAATATTATAAAAACAAAAAATAAAACATAATTGAGCAAAAGCCAATCTAGATACGATACGGTCCGCCAACAGTTCATTAAAGTAATAAAATGATATCATTTTCATTTTTAATGATATAAGAATAAAAAATTAAACTTAATTGAGCAAAATCCAGCCTGATCATGTATGCATCCCTAATTAATTTTAACACGACCCCTACGGTCCGCGGAGCCTAAAAAGATATACCTCCCGGCCCTTGTCCAGAATGATTTGGAGACCCTGGTATAGAGGGCTCCAAAATTCTTATACTGTCGCAATAAAGAGGATTTACATGACCTGTCCCATGGGCCACAACGATCCTAGAAACGTTACAGAGTGTATTTCATCCTGTCCTATGGACTATAACGATTCTAGAAACGTTACAGAATGTATTTCATCCTGTCCTATGGACCACAACGATTCTAGAAACGTTACAGAGTGTATTTCATCCTGTCCTATGAACCATAACGATTCTAGAAACGTTACAGAATGTATTTCATCCTGTCCTATGGACCACAACGATTCTAGAAACGTTACAGAGTGTATTTCATCCTGTCCTATGGACCATAACGATTCTAGAAACGTTACAGAGTG